CTGAACTAGAACTGAACTAGAACTGAACTAGAACTGAACTAGAACTGAACTAGAACTGAAATAGAACTGAACTAGAACTGAACTAGAACTGAACTGGAACTGAACTAGAACTAGAACTGAACTAGAACTGAACTAGAACTGAACTAGAACTGAACTAGAACTGAACTAGAACTGAACTAGTACTGAACTAGAACTAAACTAGAACTAAACTAGAACTGAACTAGAACTGAACTAGAACTGAACTAGAACTGAACTAGAACTGAACTAGAACTGAACTAGAACTGAACTAGAACTGAACTAGAACTGAACTAGAACTGAACTAGAACTGAACTAGAACTGAACTAGAACTGAACTAGAGCTGAACTAGAACTGAACTAGAACTGAACTAGAACTGAACTAGAACTGATCTAGAACTGAACTAGAACTGAACTAGAACTGAACTAGAACTGAACTAGAACTGAACTAGAACTGAACTAGAACTGAACTAGAACTGAACTAGAACTGAACTAGAACTGAACTAGAACTGTACTAGAGCTGAACTAGAACTGATATAGAACTGAACTAGAACTGAACTAGAACTGAACTAGAACTGAAATAGAACTGAACTAGAACTGAACTAGAACTGAACTGGAACTGAACTAGAACTAGAACTAGAACTGAACTAGAACTGAACTAGAACTGAACTAGAACTGAACTAGAACTGAACTAGAACTGAACTAGAACTGAACTAGTACTGAACTAGAACTAAACTAGAACTAAACTAGAACTGAACTAGAACTGAACTAGAACTGAACTAGTACTGAACTAGAACTAAACTAGAACTAAACTAGAACTGAACTAGAACTGAACTAGAACTGAACTAGAACTGAACTAGAACTGAACTAGAACTGAACTAGAACTGAACTAGAACTGAACTAGAACTGAACTAGAACTGAACTAGAGCTGAACTAGAACTGAACTAGAACTGAACTAGAACTGAACTAGAACTGATCTAGAACTGAACTAGAACTGAACTAGAACTGAACTAGAACTGAACTAGAACTGAACTAGAACTGAACTAGAACTGAACTAGAACTGAACTAGAACTGTACTAGAGCTGAACTAGAACTGATCTAGAACTGAACTAGAACTGAACTAGAACTGAACTAGAACTGAACTAGAACTGAACTAGAACTGAACTAGAACTGAACTAGAACTGAACTAGAACTGAACTGAACTAGAACTGAACTAGAACTGAACTAGAACTGAACTAGAACTGAACTAGAACTGAACTAGAACTGAACTAGAACTGAACTAGAACTGAAGTAGAACTGAACTAGAACTGAACTAGAACTGAACTAGAACTGAACTAGAACTGAACTAGAACTGAACTAGAACTGAACTAGAACTGAACTAGAACTGAGAGAATTCAATAAAAATTGGGAATTCTTTTCGATTTAATTTTTTTTGGAAATGAAAATTGTATATTCAACTCTTATTTATATGGCTATAATTTACTAATCACTAAAATTCTATCATATGTTTCAGTTTTTCTTATTTGTGTGTTTTTTAATAATTAAAACAAAAATTAATGAAATAAAGTTTTGTTAAAAAAAATGAACAATTATAATGAAATATGTATATCACAGGTACATTTTTTAGTTTTCTAGTAATAAATTGTTAAAAAATTAAAAAAAAAATTAAAACAATTTGTTAAAATAGTTTTAGTTTTTTTGTGTTAAATTTAACGAAATTTTTTAAAAATGTTAAAATTAAAATGTATTATTTTTTTGTTTTAAAGAGCCACTAACCATGTTTTTTTTAGTAATATTATTTAGTTTTTATTTATTTTAGCTTAAAATTTTGAAATTTTACGTATTTTAGTTACAATTTCTTTGTAGTTGTTTTTCTCTATTACTTTAGCTTTAGATAGGTATAGTTTTTTAACTGGAGTTTAATGGTTTAGCCAAATTTTTAATGTATTTTTTTTATAATACCCTGTTTTTTATTTTATTTTTACAATTTTTATATTAAAACTTTTAGCTTTAGTTCTTCTTTATATCTAAATTTAGTTTTATTTGCTTAAAAACACAGTTCTTTTTTGTTGAGTTTTATATGATTTTTACAGGTTGGTTTTTAGGGTTTTGAGGGGTTTTCCTTGGGGAGGATTTGGGTAGTTTTAAAATAAAATGGCAGTTTCCGTGGATAAATTTGTATACAATATTTTATGGCACAACAAAAATACCTTATTTCGCTTTAATTTAACATTGATTTATTTGTTAAATTAATTATAGTCTATTATTTTAATTTAAATACAATATTTCAGTTTGTGCAGTAGTTAAGAAGTTTTAAAAACAATATTGAAAATAATATTAAAGAAATACAACAATTACAAGATTTAAGAGGATAAAAAAACTCACCTTTTTGTGAACGAAATTGGGAAATTTTGAATCACTCTTAACTCGGAACCAACATAGATAAGAAAGTATTTTAAACGAACCACTTTGACCCATAACTGGAATCTAATAAATCCTTAGAACCCTTGACTAAGCTATTTGAAAACCCTAGTTATTATGGCATCTAGCTTAAGTCCTTTATCTCTTTGTTTCTTGATTCATTTTCTATTTGAACTTGTCTTCACTTAGTTTGAAAAACCTTTTAATTAAACCCCACATAACAATTTAAATTTAATTGTCTGTATATTTCTTGATTTATTACTTATTTTAGCTCCACACTGTGGAGTCCACAGCTGTAATTGTTGCTCTTTTACGAAATAATTCGCCACAAATCAATTGGCGTGTTAAAGTATATTTTCACTTGAAAATAACCATTATGATGTGAACAATTTATTCTTGGATTTTATGGCTGTTATACAAAAAGTCTAAACAAATATTAAATAAATAATCATAAATCATAACAGTACACTAAAGAATCTAGAAGCACAAAGTCGTTAAAAGGCTTAAGATAACCCAGTAAACATTTTTTTACAGAAAACTTTATTTAAAATTAGTAATTTCATTAGAAATTTATTATCAGAACTTGCTGACCAACTATATTGGTCGAACTTGCGAGAGTCTTGCTGAATCATAACCGTGAAAGGTGAGATTCAAAGATGAGGCACAGTTGGTCCTTCGAACCTTTAAGTTTAAAAGGAAAATACATACAACTTAACCTTCTAACAAATAGTATTTCTCTTCATAGTTTTTTAAAAATCAAATAATAGTGAAGAACACACAAATAATTCACACTTAAATTGCCAACAGAAATTGGTCCTTCGAACCTGTAGTTTTAATTATATTGCGCAGACTGTAACTGTAAGTAATGAAATTTTCTCTAAATGTCCTCAATTTAAAGCAAGTCTAGAAGAAGATAGAATTAGACAAGTGAGTTGATAGTTAAAGTTGAATTATAAATGGTCCTTCGAACCATAAAATGAAGCATAAGTCTTCAACGAATAATGCACCATCTTTAATTTCTTTATAATAAAAGCAAGAATTCATTAATATTTTATTAAAATCGAGAATTGGTCATATCTGCCGGGAGTTGTTTTCCTAGAAATGCCTTAAAATCTCTTAACCTCCAATTGGTCCTTCGAACTCTGCAGTTTAAATTGATAATAAATATAGCGCTTATAATTAATATAAAAGTACCTTCATTCTATAGTTCGTAAATTCAAACAAATAAACAATCAGTTTCTGAACTAAAATTGGTCCTACGAACCTATAACTTGAATTCCGTTGAACCGTTTAACATGAGTTAAGATTTTGTCCAAATGTTAAGGTCATTGTTTTCAAACTTTAGACTTTGAATTTACAGTGAATTATCGGAACTATCTTTATAAAGCTTTAATAAATGGAATTTCGTTCTATATGCTAAATAAAAAATTAAGAAAATTGCTCCTACGAACCTGTTAATTTAATTCTATTGAACTGAATATGTCGTGTTGAGATTTAGGCCAAATGTTTTCCAACTTTAAACTCTACGTTTGAGACGATCTATCGAAACTAACTTGGTTGTTTTGCTTCTTAAAGTTTCTAAACTTTCAAAAGTGGCTTCGGGGACTATTAAAGTTAATATTGTTTTACATTTGACGTATTTTTATTGAAATTATACCAAAATATTGTTAATTAAAAAATTATTTACAAATGGTCCTTCGAATCGATATTATTAAATTCAGTTTTCTTAGTGATTTCTGCAAACAACCGGATAAGCTTGCTAATAACCTTCTAAACAAACAATATATTTAGATAAGTTTTCAGATCAATTCTCAAGAATTATAAATAAATTGTTCTGTAAATTGTCCTACGAGTCGAGAGAGCAAAATTCTAAACAAACTAACATATTTAAACATGTCAAAATGTCTTAATTTATTACCAATCTTTGAAGGTAAAACGTTATTTTAATCTTTAAAATTAATAAATTTAAAAGTTTAAAAACATTACCGAATTATTTGCAACTGGTCCTTCGAACCAAAAATTTATAATTCAATTGTTAAAGTTTATAAACATCTTTAGACAAAGAAAGAAATTTGTTAACAAGTATTCGGTTTTGCAAGGTTTTCATGTAAATTTCATGATAATTGTAATAAACTCATTGTACAAATGGTCCTACGAGCCAAGAAATAATATTCCATATTTTCCATTAGTTTTGTATAACAAAACTTTTAAGAGTTTTAAAATCTTAACAGAAATTCATGTTTATATAGAAAGCACCAGAAAGTTACCAATTAAACAGATGTAGGCAATTGGTCCTTCGAACCAAAATTTGCAAATTTTGGCTTTATAACAATAATTTTCAAACAATAAAGTAAATTTTTAGTTATAATTTTCTAAAATGGACTTTATTTTAAAGATATTAAAGCCTAAAGACCTAACTCATGAAATCACGATTTGCACAAAATTGGTCCTTCGAACCAAAAATTTTTAATATAGTTGTTAAAGTTAAAGAACTTCTTCAAACAAAGAGGGAAATTTATTAACAGGTATACCGAATACCTGTTAACAAATTTCCCTCTTTGCAAAGTTTTCATATAATTGTCATGAGAATTGTAATAAACTCTTATACAAATGGTCCTACGAGCCAAGACATTAAATTCCACATTTTCCATAAGTTTGCACATTAAAACTTTTAAAATCTTAACGAAAATTCATGTTTATATAGAAAGCACCAGAATGCTACCAGTTTTAAGAATGTTAAAGCCTATAGACCTAACTCATGAAATCACGATTTGCACAAAATTGGTCCTTCGAACCAAATATTTATAATTCAGTTGTTAAAGTTAAAGAACTTCTTCCAACAAAGCGGGTAATTTGTTAACAAGTATTCGGTTTTGCAAAGTTTTCATGTAATTGTCATGAGAATTGTAATAAAGTCTTTATACAAATGGTCCTAAGAGCCAAGACATTAAATTCCTCATTTTTCATTAGTTTTATATAACAAAACTTTTAAAAGTTTTAAGATCTTAACTGAAATTCAAGTTTATATAGAAAACACCAGAAAGTTTCCAATTAAACAGATATAGGCAATTGGTCCTTCAAACCAAAGTTGCTAATTTTGACTTCATAACAATAATATTCAAACAAGAAAGTAAATGTTTAGTTATATTTTTTTTAAATGGAATTTGTTTAAAAAATGCTAAAGTCTAAAGATCTAACTTATGAAATCACGATTTACACAAAATTGGTCCTTCGAACCAAAAATTTATAATTCAGTTGTTAAAGTTAAAGAACTTCTTCCAACAGAGCGGGAAATTTGTAAACAAGTATTCAGTTTTGCAAAGTTTTTATGTAATTGTCATGAGAATTTTAATAAACTCTTTATACAAATGGTCCGGCGAGCCAAGACAATAAATTCTACATTTTTCATTAGTTTTGTATAACAAAATATTTAAAAGTTTTAAAATCTTATGTTTATATAGAAAGCACAAGAAAGTTACCAATTAAACAGATATAGGCAATTGGTCCTTCGAACCAAAATTGCTAATTTTGGCTTCATAATCATAATTTTCAAACAAGGAAGTAATTTTTTAGTTATATTTTTCTAAAATGGAATTTGTTTTAAAAAATTTAAAGCCTAAAGATCTAACTCATGAAATCACGATTTGCACAAAATTCGTCCTTCGAACTTTATGAATATTATAAACTTTAAGCAACATAACACATAAAACTGCCTTAACTTTTAAAAATAGTTTAACAATCAAATTCAAAATTCCATTGTTAGCAGGAGCCTTTGCTAAATGAAAAAATTTTTCATAATAATTGTAAAAAGTGGAAAAAAACAGCAAAGAAAATTACTTTTCCCTGGATTTTATAAACAGACAAACACAAACCCCGCTAAATACGAAATAAAATGGCGACATGGCATAATAAAAGCCATTTTTTTTTGTAAATTCTTAGTAAAAGAAAAATTTCAGCTTAACACGCCATAAAAGTTCAAGCTGAATTTTCTTAAGTAATTGTTGTATTTTTCTCCATATTTTCTTACTTTTGCGAATAAAACTTCTGTTTAAAAGAATTTTGTAATTTTAATAATTTTGCTTTTATTTAGGTTTTGTTTTTTTTTTCAAAATGTCTTATAATACTAAAAATAATTTAACTATTCGATGGCTACGAAAAAATCTCAATGCTTTTCAATTTACAATGATTATGTTGGTATTTTTTTTTTGTTTAAGCTTTAATTAGTAAAAAGTATTGTTTAATAATAAATTATAAATGTATAAAATAGTGTTTAAATGCTAAAATGTTTTTTTTTATTTTTTTAATTTATTTCTTTTAATTAAGTTTTATTTTATTAAAATTTACACTTACTGTACATGGTGGTGGCTAGTTGTTGGTGGATGTTGGTGGCTGTTAGGCAGCTGCTTCACTAGAAATAGATGACAACATCGGTGACCATACCGGCAGCATCTACAGCACAACCACCAGCAACTGTACCATAAGTTGCATATCAATTATTTTGTGTTAATATCTTAGGACCACTCGTCAAGACGGCCGCCGACATATGAGGCGGCATACCCGGTTCCCCGGCCTCCGCATACAGGCAGGAACCCTCACTGCAGGAACAGGTATCACCCTCACGTGAACTACTACAGCATTCACTGCAATTACGTGGTTCACCTAAAACCTCATAAGTACACGATGAGGCTGCTAAACTTTTCTGATCATTCTCGATAATTTCGGGAAAACGATTATTGGTTTTATTGTGACATCGATGATTGGAAGATTTACCATTTTCTTGGCTACTCTCCGAACGCATAGTATCATTGCCGCCCATATGACTGTGACTATGACTGTGACCGTGTGGATTGTGAGAATGTTGATGATGTGTAGGAGGTTGGTTATGAGCTGTGACATTGGAATGAGAAGTCCGTGAATGATCGGAACATTCAGAGGAACATTGATAGATTTGATGGGCTGATGAGTTAGTGGCTGGCATATGAGCCGCATGTAGTGGTTGATACCAACCCTCACCGGGTGGTGGCAGTGGTTGGTGAGGTGATGCTAAGGCATCACAACTGTTGCAGGTTCTGGAAAGATAAAATGGAGCATATATTAGTTAAATTATATTGGGAATGACGAATCGAGTTTGTGTGAAATGAAAGGGAAAACAAGGAATCTATAAAGATAAATAATGGAAGAAGATTAATGGGCCCCTTTTCAAAATGATTAATACGACATGAATAGAAAGAACTAAAAGGAAGTGATCACAACTTTTATGTAAATCAGTTAAAAATCAATCAACAGGATATTTTTTTATCCAAAATTCTTAAATGTAAAAAGAAATAAAAAGAAAAAATATGCCCTGGTTCGGAAACCCTATCAAATACTTAAGTGGTGAGGCAAATTACTTTGGAAAACATCTCTTTAATATATGGATCCTTCTAAATGATCTTAAGCTTAATCAAGATCAGTTGGGAATTTTTCCTATCCATGGCACATCATTTGCAATCAATTGTTATTCGAGAAAACCTGATCTGAACAATAGATAGAAATCTGAAAAAATCTCTTTCATATATAAAACTGAATTCTTTCTATCGATGAAAGTTTCTTTTAAACATGGAAGTGAAGTGTCTCTAAGCGATCTCAAACCTAACGAAGATCGGTAATTAACTTAAATTTGGAAACTGATCCGTCTCCAAAATATAAAAGAAGAAATGTAAAAAGAATTAAAAAGAAAAAACGATATTTGAGAATAGAACTGAATAAAGAACTGAACCATTTGAAAGTGATCTCTATCATGGAGAAGATCAGTTAGACTTTAAATTATGAAAAAATATAAAAAGAAATAATATATTCCGGTTGTTGGACTGACTGAGAAACCCTCATTTGAAAATTAAACTAAATTGTTTCTAAGTGATCGTAACCTTAAAAATGATCAGTTAGAAATCCATAATAAACTTAGATATGGAAATCAAATATGAAAAAGTACAATGAAACAAAAGGAAAACCGACAACCGATCAAGTCTCTTTAAGTGATCTACTGAAATGATCCCGATCTTAACTAAAATCTGTTAAAAACGATAATCAACCTCAATTTGAAGATTTTTTCAACCGAAAAGAATACAGAAATGTAAAAAGATATGAATATAAGAAAATATACTCTAGATCAGGTACCTGATATATTAATGTGGATCAGTTAGAAAGAGAAAAAATTTAAACCCTGAAAGTCTCTTTTAAATCTATATAGAACTGAATAATTTCTCAGTGATCTCAGTAATTATATGATCAGTTGGATCACGATGGTCCCAAGAAAATTAAAATTCAACAGTTTGTTTTACACTCACCTGCCATTAGAACATCTCGAATTGTGAGTACCCGTAGGCTGATATTCACTGACAGCATGTCTGGGTGGCGGATAATGGATATGTATATTACGAGGCGGCAGTTGGGCAGTGCCCACCCCAGCACCCGGTGGGAAATAGGGAGGCAGGGGTGGAGGATGTTGAGCTGTGGGAGTAATTTGATAACGATTCTGTGTGCCAGCCACACAGGGTAAAGGATTATTGTAGTAATTCTCCTGTGGAGGCACACGACCAGCGGCGGCTGCTGCACACTGAGGTGTCATGCCCCAGGTGGAGAAACCACCGGAAGAACTGCTGTGTATGGAAGAGTTGAGAGCACTGGAAAGAAAAAAAATTCAAAGGAAATTGAGTAAAATTGTTAAGAGATGTTTGTTGATTGAAATGTTGATTTAAACTTACCCCGAACCTCCCGATTTGGAACTTTTTCTTGAGGATTGTGGTGAGCCGGGTGCATAACCACACGATGAGGGTACTGGTGGTGGATGTTCCGGTGGTGGTGGCAAAAATTCTGACCAATTAATTTGTTCTAATTAGTTTTGTTTTGCAAAAATTTTTTTTGTTTTATATGGACGACATCAATTTTGGAATTTGGAGTAGGGGGAAAGAAGATAGGAAGTGAGAAAAAGAAAATTAACATAAATTTCCAAGAATATATAAATTAAATACAAAATAAAATGAAATTATAATTTAACACAAAAAAAATAGCCTAAAGACAATAATTTGTTAAGCTGTTCTAGCTATTTGTTAATATTTTTCCATAGATTATTTAAATAGCAAAAACTGTTTACGATTTTACACTCCTACTACATCTAAAGTTCATAACCTACGGCTGTTAAATATCGAGGCATAATAAAATGTAATCTTGACATATTCAGCATATATTTGCCCATAAACAGGAAATACTTGAAAATGCTTATTATATTGCCTGTAGTTATTGTATAATTTAAATTAAAGCAAAAAAATATGTCTTATACTATTCTGCTACGTTACAACAAATAAATCTTCTAAAATGCTTGAGATAACTAAAGTTGAGGGGTTGTAGAATGAGCTGACATACCAAAATAAAAAAGGAACGAAATACCCCTCTCATTTTATACAAGCAGCTGTCAATAGCAATCATTTGTTTGAAATCAAAAGGATAACAAGGATAATGGTATTATATTTGAAATAAAAACAACATACAAGTTGAATAAAAAATCTTGTTAAGCTTAACAAATCGAGTGCGAAAACAATTGTATGTATTTAGGCAAAAAAATACACAAAAGTGAAAGAAAGAAATAAAATAATACGGGAAAATAATAGAAAAGAGAAGCTAAAACATCATGATATGGTTATTAACGTAAAGGAACTTAAACTCTTAGAAAAAAAAAAAAGAAATTGTAATGATAACAAATGTGCAAGGATTAGATTGTTAAAGAAAAAAGCTTAAGCAATGTAGATAACAAAAGTATTAGGTGTAGAATAATTTATAAGTTTAAGCATGCCTCGTTTTTTTGGTCCTACGAACCGTTATGGCAAAACTAATGAAAAACCTTAGACGCCAAAGGTCCTTCGAACTAAATATTTAACAAATACTCAAATTATTTATGAAACTTAATTAAGTGATCTCAATTAGAAATCGGTAATCGACTTAAATTTGAAAAATTTCCGTCACAAACGAATAGAGAAATGTAAAAGGACATTCTAGTTGTGACGTACGAAGTGCTAAGACAAATAACAATGGCATTTAAAGTAACCTTGAAACATGACTTGAAGTTCGAAAAGATCACTTTTTTTACATAAAAGTGAATTGTTTCTAAGTGATCGAAACCATAAGGAAGATCGTTTAGAAATCGGAAATTTGGAAATATGTCATCAGAAGCGTATAACGAAATGTAAAAAGAAATAAAAAGAAAAAAATATCACATAAAGTCCCATTTGTATATGGAACATAGTGATTTATAAGTGATCTCGGCGAAGATCGGAGACTAATAATCAACTTGGATTTGGAAGTTTTCATCCGAAACTAATATTAGAAATTTAAGAAGAAATTAAAAGAAAAAACAAACTGATCCACAAAAAATTGAGTTGAATTTGAAAATCTTTAATAAAAAGAAATTATTTATAGTCTGGATCAAAGAACGTACAACAACTTCTTCTTTATTGTAATATGTAGAACTCTTTAGGGTCGCAATAGATTATGGTCCTTCGAACCGATAGTAACTGCCTCTGTTACTGTCTCTGATACATGTTACCTGGGTGTTATTGCAATCACGGGTTACAATGAACTAAATGTGACTATTTACTCCTCGGAAAGCTAATGACGAGGTCACTTTGGGGAACAATTTATGGAAGAGGTGTTGATACTACAACAACAGAATTTTGACTGAGTCAATGGTGCGTGTGATGGATCTGGTTTTAGTTCGAAAGGAAATTAATTATAGTCTGGATTAAAGAACATACAACAATTTCTGCTTTATTGTAATGTATAGAACTCATAAGGGTCACAATTGGTTATGGTCCTTCGAACCAACAGTAACTGTCTCTGTTACTGCTCCTCGTACATGTTACGTTCGTGTTATTGTAATCACGCGTTACATGGATTAAAGAACGTACAACAATTTCTTCTTTATTGTAATATATAGACCTCTTTAGGGTCGCAATAAGATATGGTCCTTCGAACCGATATTAACTGTCTCTGTTACTGCCCCTAGGACATGTTACCTTGGAGTTATTGCAATCACAGGTTACAAGTAGCTACATGAGTCTATTAACTCCTCGGGAAGCTATTGACGAGTTCACTTCAGAGAACTATTTATGAGAAAATTGTTGATACTAAAAAAAGAGGATGTTGAGTGAGTCAACGGTATGTGTATGATGGATCAGTGGATATGGTTTTTGATTCGAAGCGAAATTAATAATAGTCTGGATTAAAGAACGTACAACAATTTCTTCTTTATTGTAATACATAGAACTTATCAAGGTCTCAATTGGTTATGGTCCTTCGAATCAACAGTAACTGTCTCTGTTACGAAATGAGACTATATACTCCTCGGGAAACTATTGACGAGGTCACTTCGGGTGACTATATATGCGAAAAGTGTTGATACTATAACAACAGGATGTTGAGTGAGTTAATGGTGTGAGAGCTGACGATATGGTTGTGAATTTGTCTGTCTGATGGATCAATGGATATGGTTTTACAGTATTCCTGTCCTTATGTTATCAATAATATTCCCTAAATGCTGTGCAGTAGCTGTCACAGTAGTGTGGTTGAGCTTATTGTCGTAATGCTTCAGATATGGTCTGAAGATTAGCGGACATTTCACAACTGAACTGCAATGCTCAGAGAATATATAACTCGAGTACTCGAGAAAAGTGCTTGTAGATAGACCATGATCGAAAATGTCCATGTGGTTACACGAAGGTGGTCATGTGTAGCACCCCCTGTGATTGAGAAGGACCAACATGAGCATAGACCATTAAGGCAGGAGCTCACGTAAAGAAATCCATGTCTCTGCTACAGTTGGTTCGACTTAAAATTGGAGAATGTTTATTCGAAGTGTAAACAAATATTTGAAAACATCCCTTTCCACAGACCCTTCACTAAATCATTAATAGGAAATTGCCTTAAGAAGTACAAATAGATCGTTCCTGTGATCCTTCGAACTAGCAAAAGTTACTGCCCAAGTTCACAAGATAAGATGATCCTTTTGATAAGTTTCTGAACTTATCAATTCTTCTGACCACATTCAATACATATTCTTAATCGGTTCGAAGGACCAAATCTTAAAACTCTTAAAATTATACTCAATACTTAAGCAACATTAAGAAAGATACAAAATCTACCAGCTACCAATAACAAACACATACATATAAAAATAGGCTCTCTACTTACCGGGAGGATATTGATGATAATTATGTTTGGCCGTAGGACCATTAGGAGGACAGTGAGTATTAATGCCCTCCGAATTGGGTGAATGAGTGCCTGAATCTTGATCTGTACTAGAACCAGAAGTTTTCATGCAAGTAGTTTCCGTCGAAGAAGCACCTATAATCATGGTAGTAGCATAAGGAGTAGGATTTTCAGGACTCTAAAGTAAAAATGAAATAAATAGCGAAAGAGTTAATAAACATCACAATTTTGAAAACCTTATAAAGAAAAATATTTCTCTAATTTAAACTTCACAACAACTCACCTTACGACAATTATAAAATGTACTCATATTTCTGGTATCCACTTCAGCATAATCGGTGCCACCATCTATTGATGTATTATAATTTGATTGACTATTGGCATTAGACAGTAGTTTGGTTTCACTCAAACCGGAATCTTTATCGGTATCTGTGGTACGCCAGCCCCTGTCAATCCATAAACTGTCTTTGCCATTGATATTCAAGGCGGTAATTTCATTGGCACTCACTACTATAAAAAGGGTACAAGAAATAAAAAAGAAATAAACAGAAAGAGAAAGATTAGGAAAAACGGTTGAACATTTTTTTGTTAGAAAAAATCTGTGCTTTCTTTTTGTATTCAATTTAATATTGGTTTAGTTTTTTGTTTTATCCTTTTCTATGATAGAATTAGTTTCAGTTTCAATGTATTTTTTTTTTTCGCTTTACCCATATCAAGTTAATTAAGGATTTTTGTAGTTTTTGTTTTATCAAAATCCACTTTGCTTTTAAAGGAAGTCATTAGAGAGTGTCAATATATATATCGAAAAGTTTAGTATTTTTTCCCCAGTCAGACAGAAATTAATTACTATCATGACCATGATTGATTTTCAAATTGGTGAAAATGTTGTAATTTACTACATAGTAAAATTATATAGCAGAGAAAAAGGAAACATTTCTAAAAACACTAAATGAAAAATGTCACGTTTGTAAAGGGACAAATTGTTGACAATTAACTTTTTCTAAATAGTGTGAAAAAAAGAGCTTAAGAAGGGCAATTTGTTTTTAGGCTTTATAGGTAATAGTAACGAAGCTCATTATTATAAAGTGACGGAAATTGTTGGAAAATACGATGAATATTGGAACCCCTTTTTCCAATTTTTAAAGAGATTTTCCATAAATGAACGGTTTTTAGAGATAATTGTGATGGAATAGACTGTAGTCTAGTCATTAGTCTGGTTTATAGTCTAGTCTAGTCTAAGGTCTACTCTATAGTCTACTCTATAGTCTACTCTATAGTCTAGTCTATAGTCTAGTCTATAGTCTAGTCTATAGTCTAGTCTGTAGTCTAGTCTATAGTCTAGTCTATAGTCTAGTCTGTAGTCTAGTCTGTAGTCTAGTCTGTAGTCTAGTCTATAGTCTAGTCTAGTCTAGTCTAGTCTATAGTCTATAGTCTAGTCTATAGTCTAGTCTATAGTCTAGTCTATAGTCTAGTCTATAGTCTAGTCTATAGTCTAGTCTATACTCTACTCTATAGTCTAGTCTATAGTCTAGTCTATAGTCTAGTCTATAGTCTAGTCTATAGTCTAGTCTATAGTCTAGTCTATAGTCTAGTCTATAGTCTAGTCTATAGTCTAGTCTATAGTCTAGTCTATAGTCTAGTCTATAGTCTAGTCTATAGTCTAGTCTATAGTCTAGTCTATAGTCTAGTCTATAGTCTAGTCTATAGTCTAGTCTATAGTCTAGTCTATAGTCTAGTCTATAGTCTAGTCTATAGTCTAGTCTATAGTCTAGTCTATAGTCTAGTCTATAGTCTAGTCTATAATCTAGTCTATAGTCTAGTCCATAGTCTAGTCTATAGTCTAGTCTATAGTCTAGTCTATATTCTAGTCTATAGTCTAGTCTATAGTCTAGTCTATAGTCTAGTCTGTAGTCTAGTCTATAGTCTAGTCTATAGTCTAGTCTATAGTCTAGTCTATAGTCTAGTCTATAGTCTAGTCTATAGTCTAGTCTATAGTCTAGTCTATAGTCTAGTCTATAGTCTAGTCTATAGTCTAGTCTATAGTCTAGTCTATAGTCTAGACTATAGTCTAGTCTATAGTCTAGTCTATAGTCTAGTCTATAGTCTAGTCTATAGTCTAGTCTATAGTCTAGTCTATAGTCTAGTCTATAGTCTAGTCTATAGTCTAGTCTATAGTCTAGTCTATAGTCTAGTCTATAGTCTAATCTATAGTCTAGTCTTTAGTCTAGTCTATAGTCTAGTCTATAATCTAGTCTATATTCTAGTCTATAGTCTAGTCTATAGTTATAGTTAAAATTATCTGAAAATTATATGGTCCTTCGGATCTTCAAAGAAACATTTTTTATGTAAACTTTTTGAATTTTTCATTACCACAAAAAACAAAATTACCCGAAAATATTTTCATTCCTTTTTTTAAATTTTCTACACACTCACCACTTAAATGACCCAATTCTTTGGTCAATTGATGGCGCCGCTTGAAAAACAACATGGCTGCTGCTGCGGATATTAAAATGGCCAAAAGCATTGTTATCACCAAAGCCATAAACCATGTTTCATGGACAATTGTTGTTGATTTGCGTTGAGTTGTTGTGGTGGCAGCATCATCTGGCATACCAGCACCATTGGGATGATAAGCAAAATGACCACCATCTCCTGCATGGCCAGTAATACTGCTGTGCGATCCACTGGGATGAGCACGCGGGGGATGTACTAAATGTGCGGGATCCATGAATAATGAAACCTGTTGGTGATATATGAAAACAGCAATAATTACAGAAAATTAATAATTAAATCAATAGTGTGTTAAATAAAAATTTTATTGGTTTTTGTTTGGTAATTGTACTAACCGGCTGTGAGTAGGGTCCCTCCCCGGCCTTGGTAAACGAATTTAAGCGTACATTGTAAGTGGCTCCAGTTGTTAAATTATTTAACAATACCGAAGTTGTGGTAGAATTTAAAGTCATATTGGCTAACACTTTCATGGTATTACCAGCCGTTACCTATTTTGAATGAAACAGAAAAGAATTATGTTTTAGAAAAATTTTTAAATTCATATTTTATTCCAGCAACTAAAAACATTTTTCTAGAATATTTAGCATAAATTCTTTTTATTGGAACTTACCTCGATTTTATAGCCCAGCAAATTGCCATTATGATGTTGGGGTGGTGGCGATGACCATCTTACCCAGCCAGCCGTTAGATTATACATGCCAATTTGTATGTTATCGGGAGGTGCTGAGGGTACTGAAATGGAGAAAAATACATTGAAGTTGAAATTGCTTTAGTCTGAGAAACTTAAACGATGTGAGTTTTCATGATCAAAAATTATTAGGTTCAAAGGGGCAAATAGTTATTCCTTTTTAGATCCTCTCGTGTCTTAACAATCAAATGGACGGACATAAATGGATCATCATAGAATCTATCTGATGATCCAACCAATATATCGGAATGATAAAGTCAATTAACTTTTTTATCCAATGAAAATTGTTTAAACTTAAGGTTCGCAGGATCATTTAAACACTTTTTCAACCAGCCTAAATCTATGCTACAATTTTTTATTTTTAATTATTTTCAATCTCGTTTAACTTTAGTTTACAACGACAGTTTTATGCCAATTAAAATTTTACATAAAAGTTTATTTGCGCATAATTTTCATATACATGCATGTATGCAAATGAGTGTGTGTGTGTGTAACTAAATGCTGCCACTTCCGTTTCTATTTGCAACTCGTATTCAGGTTAAAATTTCCTAACTCTTTCTCTCTTTCACTCGTTCGCTATAACTCCGGGTTGTTTGTTGTTTTAACTATTTTAGTGTTTGTTAGTGTTTTCATATTTGTTGTTCTATCAGGTGGCTTGCGTATTTTACTGTGTCATTAAAAAGTTTTTATAGATACCACCGTCAAGAAATGGTTCATGTGTATTGATTTTGTCCTTCCGTTTGTAACATATGGGCATTTTATTCGTGGAATCCGAAAGTTAAGTATTTTTTGGGTTTAGAAAAGTTTGTGTATGCCCGTTTGTCTGTTCGTTGGTGCATTTGTCTGCTGTCTGGTTGTCTATATGTCTTTCTGTTTGTCTGTCTGTCTGTGTGTCTATTTGTATGTTTGCCGTCTGTCTTTCTGCCTATCTGTGGGAATTTCGATCGTGGAACCCGAAAGATAAGTATTTCTTGAGTCCAGAAATATTTGAGTCAGCACTTCTCAATTTTGTTTGTCTGTCATGCTTATCTGTCTGTCTGTCTATCTGTCTGCCTGTCTGTCCGTATGTATGTCTTTTTGTCTGTCTATCCATCTTTCTATATGCTTGTCTATGACGGTTTGTGTCTGTCTTTCTACTTTCCGAATCAAACATTTCGATTTCTGCACTAAAAATTCATCACTGCCAATCACCATTTTAAACTCTCCAACTTATGTTATTTTTCCACTTTTGAGGTTTTGTAATAAAATTTATTAAAATGTTAACTATTTTTTTATTTTTTGTTTTAAACATTAATAAAATAGTTATAAAGTTGCTAAAAAAAATTGCAACAAAATTATGGTAAATTTTATGCATAGTTTTTATTAACAATAATTTACATATAAAATAGGTTGAGGAATATATAAAATTTTTGAGCACAACTTTAATACAAATTTTATACAGAAAAAGTTAACAACTTTAACTTGTTTATGAATATTAACAAATTATTAAAAAATTAACATATTAATAAGTTTTTGTTGAACAAAATACAAAAAAATCAGCAAGACTTTAGAAAAATTTAATTAAATAACCAACAAAAATGCTCACTACAAAGTAAGGAGTTAAAGTGGCAAAATAATCGATTTTGAAACGTAATGCTTACAAGTAAGGTGCTAAATAAACAGTGTAAATTTCTAAAAGCTGTTGTAGTTCTGTTGTACTTCAGCTTTATTTCAGTTTGAGTTGAGTTCTAGTTCAGTTCTAGTTCAGTTCTAGTTCAGTTCTAGTTCAGTTCTAGTTCAGTTCTAGTTCAGTTCTAGTTCAGTTCTAGTTCAGTTCTAGTTCAGTTCTAGTTCAGTTCTAGTTCAGTTCTAGTTCAGTTCTAGTTCAGTTCTAGTTCAGTTCTAGTTCAGTTCTAGTTCAGTTCTAGTTCAGTTCTAGTTCAGTTCTAGTTCAGTTCTAGTTCAGTTCTAGTTCAGTTCTAGTTCAGTTCTAGTTCAGTTCTAGTTCAGTTCTAGTTCAGTTCAGTTCTAGTTCAGTTCTAGTTCAGTTCTAGTTCAGTTCTAGTTCAGTTCTAGTTCAGTTCTAGTTCAGTTCTAGTTCAGTTCTAGTTCAGTTCTAGTTCAGTTCTAGTTCAGTTCTAGTTCAGTTCTAGTTCAGTTCTAGTTCAGTTCTAGCTCAGTTCTAGTTCAGTTATGGTGCAGTTCTACTTCAGTTAACTGTTTACCTAGCTTTAGGCTGAAGCTAGTTATTATGAAATAAGTTTATTATAACCCATTATAAATAAGTCATTATTAAACTATAGATAAGTAATAGTAACGGTATGGGGTAGTCATTAAAAAGTATTTCAAAGACATTACCCTGTGTTTGGAGGGTGGTGAAACTTACAACTAATGAGTTACAACTTACCATCTTCATAGGTTTGTACAATTTTCGAATTACTCGGCTGACCCTCCAACGTCTGAAAGAAGGGCGCCAAAAAGAATTCATATTTTGTATATTCCTTTAAATTGGCCACAACATGTGATTCTATCGATGGATTCAATACAGTCATTATATTGTATTGCTGTGAATTGGCGCTAACATCACGATAGCGTACATACAGGCCCTGAGAAAGAAAAAAGGGAAACATAATTTGTTAATTAAAAGACAAATATGTTAAACATTGTGTTAATTAACATTTTCTCACTCTTTGAGAGTAAGCTTTCTAGAGTGTTGCTGGTGTATGAACAAGTGTTTGGCGTATGTAGTAAAATCCTTAAATTTTTACTTACCTCAACATATTTTTCCGTTACGCTCACATGCATTACCCAGTCTAAACGTACGGCTGTGGAATTGATGGCAGCAGCATCTATTAATTCAACCACCTTTAAAAGAAATTAAAAATAAATAGTTAATTAATTTCTGGTTAAAATTATAAAAATTTTAATATTTATTATGTTTAAAAAACTGCATCAATATAACTAAAACAAAGATACAAGGACAATATTCATACATACACTAACAAAAAGAAGAGAGTAATCCGAATATAAATCGGCAGCGGTTGAAAAAATATGATCCCAAAATGGGCTTTATTTGAGACCGATTCGTACTTTCGTCTGTAAGCTACGCAATGAACTATTCAGACTAGTCTACTGACTAATCAATATGCTGCTTAAAAAGACACTCAACAGACCAGTTAATAGGATTGTCATTTGGTCTATTAGTTAATAATTTGCTTTTTTAAAACTCTACATAAATCGCACGCTTTTCATGGGCTTAAACACTATAATCGCTGATGAAAGTAGTTTTCCTCCCTATACCGCAGCACAAACAAAATTCTCTACCTACACTGAGTGTTAAAACAAATATTGTTTAAATAAATCATAAATATCAGGTTTATTTTTTGGGAAATTTTCTTTTTTTTTCTTTAATATTTACTTCCTTCATAAATATAGTGAATATTTTATTTAAAATGCTGATATATATTTTCACACGCAGTTATTTGGTTGTAAACGGTGTTGTGCTGATATATTTGTATTGAATACATATTTAAATACTTGATATGGCAGTTGGCGGCAGGAAGGAGTAAAAGGTAGAAAAAAGTATGTAATAATAGTTTTTACAAATGTAAATGCTAGAGTGTGTACTGAAAAAAAAGAGGTATATGTAACTGAAACCCAGTGAAAAAAAAAAAAAAAAAAAAAAACGCCATATATATGCATATATTTGAAGTGTAAATACAGTGGTTGCAAAAAGTTAAAGTTTCTTAAAAGTTTATAAAATTTTTTTTGCATTTTAAGTTATGCTAACCTTAACATTAATCTTACAATTTTGTTCTTCAAATTTTGTTAATTTATAAAAATTTTCTTTTAGCATTGCTATACTTTTGTCTCACACTGTATATATTTGATGCATATTTTTATATGCATTTATAAAACAATATATTTTCATATGAATGCTTCATACATATTTTTGTATTTATATTTGTTTGTATAACGAAGCAAACTTTTACAATATGATGTAAAAATACTGCAACTGAGATCAATATTTGCGAAAATAAGTTTTTTTTTTGTAGCCTTGTGCAGTAAGATGATACCAGTTTTTGCCCCTCAAAATCTTAAATTAGTTCAGATCTACTTCAACTCTAGTTCAGTTCTAGTTCAGTTCAGTTCTAGTTCAGTTCTAGTTCAGTTCTAGTTCAGTTCTAGTTCAGTTCTAGTTCAGTTCTAGTTCAGTTCTAGTTCAGTTTCTAGTTCAGTTCTAGTTCAGTTCTAGTTCAGTTCTAGTTCAGTTCTAGTTCAGTTCTAGTTCAGTTCTAGTTCAGTTCTAGTTCAGTTCTAGTTCAGTTCTAGTTTCAGTTCTAGTTCAGTTCTAGGTTCAGTTCTAGTTCAGTTCTAGTTCAGTTCTAGTTCAGTTCTAGTTCAGTTCTAGGTTCAGTTCTGGTTCAGTTCTAGTTCAGTTCTAGTTCAGTTCTAGTTCAGTTCTAGTTCAGTTCTAGTTCAGTTCTAGTTCAGTTCTAGTTCAGTTCTAGTTCAGTTCTAGTTCAGTTGTAGTTCAGTTGCTAGTTCAGTTGTAGTTCAGTTGTAGTTCAGTTGTAGTTCAGTTGTAGTTCAGTTTAGTTCAGTTCTAGTAGTTCTAGTCAGTTCTAGTTCAGTTCCTAGTCAGTTCTAGTTCAGTTCTAGTTCAGTTCTAGTTCAGTTCTAGTTCTAGTTCAGTTCTAGTTCAGTTCTAGTTCAGTTCTAGTTCAGTTCTAGTTCAGTTCTAGTTCAGTTCTAGTTCAGTTCTAGTTCAGTTCTAGTTCAGTTCTAGTTCAGTTCTAGTTCAGTTCTAGTTCAGTTCTAGTTCAGTTCTAGTTCAGTTCTAGTTCTAGTTCAGTTCTAGTTCTAGTTCTAGTTCAGTTCTAGTTCAGTTCTAGTTCAGTTCTAGTTCAGTTCTAGTTCAGTTCTAGTTCAGTTCTAGTTCAGTTCTAGTTCAGTTCTAGTTCAGTTCTAGTTCAGTTCTAGTTCAGTTCTAGTTCAGTTCTAGTACAGTTCTAGTTCAGTTCTAGTTCAGTTCTAGTTCAGTTCTAGTTCAGTTCTAGTTCAGTTCTAGTTCAGTTCTAGTTCAGTTCTAGTTCAGTTCTAGTTCAGTTCTAGTTCAGTTCTAGTTCAGTTCTAGTTCAGTTCTAGTTCAGTTCTAGTTCAGTTCTAGTTCAGTTCTAGTTCAGTTCTAGTTCAGTTCTAGTTCAGTTCTAGTTCAGTTCTAGTTCAGTTCTAGTTCAGTTCTAGTTCAGTTCTAGTTCAGTTCTAGTTCAGTTCTAGTTCAGTTCTAGTTCAGTTCTAGTTCAGTTCTAGTTCAGTTCTAGTTCAGTTCTAGTTCAGTTCTAGTTCAGTTCTAGTTCAGTTCTAGTTCAGTTCTAGTTCAGTTCTAGTTCAGTTCTAGTTCAGTTCTAGTTCAGTTCTAGTCAGTTTCTAGTTCAGTTCTAGTTCAGTTCTAGTTCAGTTCTAGTTCAGTTCTAGTTCAGTTCTAGTTCAGTTCTAGTTCAGTTCTAGTTCAGTTCTAGTTCAGTTCTAGTTCAGTTCTAGTTCAGTTCTAGTTCAGTTCTAGTTCAGTTCTAGTTCAGTCTAGTTCAGTTCTAGTTCAGTTCTAGTTCAGTTCTAGTTCAGTTCTAGTTCAGTTCTAGTTCAGTTCTAGTTCAGTTCTAGTTCAGTTCAGTTCTAGTTCAGTTCTAGTTCAGTTCTAGTTCAGTTCTAGTTCAGTTCTAGTTCAGTTCTAGTTCAGTTCTAGTTCAGTTCTAGTTCAGTTCTAGTTCAGTTCTAGTTCAGTTCTAGTTCAGTTCTAGTTCAGTTCTAGTTCAGTTCTATTCAGTTCTAGTTCAGTTCTAGTTCAGTTCTAGTTCAGTTCTAGTTCAGTTCTAGTTCAGTTCTAGTTCAGTTCTAGTTCAGTTCTAGTTTCAGTTCTAGTTCAGTTTCTAGTTCAGTTCTAGTTCAGTTCTAGTTCAGTTCTAGTTCAGTTCTAGTTCATTCTAGTTCAGTTCTAGTTCAGTTCTAGTTCAGTTCTAGTTCTTCTAGTTCAGTTCTAGTTCAGTTCTAGTTGAGTTCTAGTTCAGTTTTAGTTCACTTCTAGCTCAGATCTAGTTCACTCCTAGTTCAGTTCTAGTTTAGTTCTAGTTCAGTTCTAATTCAGTTCTAAGAAATTTTTTGGGATTTTACTCTTATCTTACCATTTATACATAGAATTAAAATCCTTTCATACTTTCGTCCCTCTAATAGCCCGTATAAATACATTTATTCATATTGTTATCGGTTAACAAATATTTATTTTACACTTACAATAAACGGGTCAATGTAATATATGAATGAATGGTTTGATTGTTATCTGATACATTTGTTTTAAATTCTGCAAACACGCTAACAATTCAATTTTCACCATTTTTTCTTTCACAAAATATAATAAAAAAATATATGTATAAAATTTATATATTTTTTATAATAAATTATGGCGAAAAAATAAATAAAACTCAGCATACAAAAAAGATACACGACTACCAAACGCTTAAATAAACACGAAATAATGTTGTAAACGTTTTAATGGCATAAATTAATGTATGCAAAACAAATAACACCGAATACACAGACACTATTCGTATGAAAACAGATAAGTATTAAAATAACCCAGTAAACATAAAATGTTTAAATTCAAGTTCAAAGTGTTTTAGCATATTAAGGATTTTTTCTAGTGTTTAATTACACTTTTATAACATTTAAAATTTTGAGTTTTGTAATAAATTTTTATTTGAAATGTTTACTGGGTGTTCAAAACTGTTGTCTGTTAAGGTTTGTGTATTTAAGCCTGAATTATTGTTTTATTTGTGTTAGTATAATTGCAAATGTATTTGAATTATTATGTATGTGTGTAAATATTAAAGTTTCTATATAACTGTGTATGGAATTGTCTATATAAATTTAAATTTATGTGTGTGTGTAAATTTAAATTGAAATATTTACAAGAGCTCTTATTTATTGTAATATTTCTGTATTTTGAAGATTTTTTCTATAGCAGCATTTGGGGCAAACATAAAATCTCTTTATGTGTCTTTTGCTAACGGTAGATAATTGTAAATATATCGCTCTCATTTGAATGCGTTCGCTTTTATTTTGTTTCCTTGTTATGTCAGTTATTTGCAATTGTGGTTCTTTATATCCTGTACTTTCTTCCTGTTTATGGCAATCATCATGTCTAGAAAGTCTAAATTAGTCCTAGTTTAGTTCTAGTTCAGTTCTAGTTCAGTTCTATAGTTCAGTCTAGTTCAGTTCTAGTTCAGTTCTAGTTCAGTTCTAGTTCAGTTCTAGTTCAGTTCTAGTTCAGTTCTAGTTCAGTTAGTTCAGTTAGTTCAGTTCTAGTTCAGTTCTAGTTCAGTTCTAGTTCAGTTCTAGTTCAGTTCTAGTTCAGTTCTAGTTCAGTTCTAGTTCAGTTCTAGTTCAGTTCTAGTTCAGTTCTAGTTCAGTTCTAGTTCAGTTCTAGTTCAGTTCTAGTTCAGTTCTAGTTCAGTTCTAGTTCAGTTCTAGTTCAGTTCTAGTTCAGTTCTAGTTCAGTTCTAGTTCAGTTCTAGTTCAGTTCTAGTTCAGTTCTAGTTCAGTTCTAGTTCAGTTCTAGTTCAGTTCTAGTTCAGTTCTAGTTCAGTTCTAGTTCAGTTCTAGTTCAGTTCTAGTTCAGTTCTAGTTCAGTTCTAGTTCAGTTCTAGTTCAGTTCTAGTTCAGTTCTAGTTCAGTTCTAGTTCAGTTCTAGTTCAGTTCTAGTTCAGTTCTAGTTCAGTTCTAGTTCTAGTTCTAGTTCAGTTCTAGTTCTGTTCTAGTTCAGTTCTAGTTCAGTTCTAGTTCAGTTCTAGTTCAGTTCTAGTTCAGTT